CTTAAATGGAAAACAAAACATTTTCCGCTATGTTTTCCCGCCAAAATTGCCAATCTTGAGTCAAAATTCCAGGCTGTGGACTTAAATATCAAGCGAAGATCAGAGGCATGCAAGTGTTTCTGTGCATTTTGAGTTGTGTGTTCAATGGTTGGTACTGTCATAAAACAGAAAGTTATACTCCCAGCTACAAGTGGACTACTTTTCACCATCGATCAGGTTCAACAAAGACAGTTTTGGTTCCCACACGTATGTATTCGTAACGATTCCCAACGGCCAGCATGGGCACAAACACCGATTTGGTCCACGAGATTCTCCTGGGACGTCTTGGGCCGGCTCGTCAGAAGAGGCAGCAACAGCATGCTCTGTGATCTCTGTGACGGCTCGCTGGTCGTTTTCCAGGCGTTGATGAGAGACAGGGTGCATGCTACATGTTCTTGAACAGGCATGAACTCAGCTCGCGCCCGTTAGTTTGCGGATCTTGTCCGAGTCCACACCGCGCCCACTGGTGCGCGTCGGCGGCCCCTTTCGTTTCTTGCTATGCACTTGGCTGTTCACATCCTTCACGTGGTTAGACACGAACACGTTAAACAGCGCTCCGGCCATGGTGGCGAGGATATTGCTGGTAAACTTGTGCCCCCTTCCACAAGCCACTTCCTTCAGTTCTTCGTCATCGCCGAGCATGTTCTGAACCACAGATCTGAACACATTCTTGGGACTTGAACTGCCAAAGAGGATGGTGCGAGTCTCTGACTGTGAATTCACCAGAAGTCTGTAGAGCTGGCAGACCTCCATGACGACTCGCAGGCACAGTTCACTCGGTTGCAGGAGCTTTCCACGGTTGAGGTCGGTGAAGCTAGCAGCCACCAGCTTTTCTTCAGCATTCTCTGCCACCACGGTTACCAGTTGCGCCCTTAGCCCGTCAGAGAGTAGCGCGCGACACTCATCACATCTGTGAATCTTCTTGACTGAGTGGGCTAAATAGCCTGCTATGTGGTGCAGAGCCTGCTGTGTCCCTTCTGGGACGTCTTGGGCTGGGTCATCAGAAGAGGCAGCAGCGGCATACTCGGTGATCTCAGTGACGGCTCGCTGGTCGTTTTCCAGGCGCTGCTGAGAGACAGGGTGCATGCCAGCCGTCACTGTGCTCAGACCATAGCCTGAGAGCCAAATTAGGCTTTTTATGCGCACGATAGCCTCTCCTTCAAAAAATTGACGAGAGCTCGCCCAGAAGTTGCCTCCGGCCAGTTTCCGGAGATGGCCGAAGTGACCTTCTAGCCGGTCGGATTGAATCTTGCCAAGCAGGACATACTCGAGATCACACTGTCTGAGCAGATACTTGGCCAGCCCGACCAGCCCTCGACAGGTTGCTGCCACTCCACGTATCGTGTCGAGCGACATTTGCCTCTTCTTGTTTCCCTGGGCTTCCCAGCGCAGCATCATCTTTCCGAACTTCTCGATGTATGCCAGCCCTTCTTCATCTCCAGTGGAAATAGGCTGCAGAGTCGAGTCGTTGCGACGAACATGCTTCCCAGGGGACTTCACGTTGACGATGTCGAACCACCTCCGAACTTGGTGCAGGAACTCTGCTGTACCGTTTAAGGAGCCGTACTCTGCATGTTGCCCATAGTAGCGGAGCGCAGCGATGGTTGTCTCGTGAGTAGCTGCTACGGCGAGCTGCACGTTCACGCGCTCTATGCTTGTTGGATGGAGCACCTTATCCGTGAGTCGGTATGCCATCTTGGCATCAAAGCTGTACTCGATGGAGTGTACCTTTTCCAGGTGGCTGAGGTGAACATCCAGAGGAGGCCCACCTGCATCGAGTGGCGGACAGTGCAGTTGTTTTTTGTTCAGGAGGTTGAAGTACATGTTTTTGAACAAGGGGACTGAGTCGTACATGGTGTACTATCCTGTCATCACTGTGTGGACTCCAGGGATTCAGGATATACTCCTGATGCCTCCCATCTTCTCCAAGCGCTCGATGGAAGGCTTGGTTTGTTCTGTGTCCGTCAGTTGTAACGGACACTACACGGTACCCAAGATGGGTGAGACATCGCAGGACTTGGAAGAAGATTCTCTTCATTTCTTGGGTTGTGACGTGGGTGACTGGCGACATGGTTACCAAGTCCTCGTAGTTCCCGGCAACCGACGAAATGTGGGTGCAGAACAAGGTACTGGCGACAGCTGTTGCTTCTCCGCTGCTCTCCCCATGCAGTCTTCCTCCCGCCAGATCGAGTGCTGTGGCACAGTAAACCTCGTCCATGGCCAGATTTACCAGCCGTTCTCTTGGAGACAACTTGGCGACCCGCATCTCCAAATACTTGATGGTCCCGATCTCCAGTCCCTCTTGCACGCTTAGTGCTCACGTAAGTCTCCGTGGCAGGACCAGAAGACCCGAGCTGCGCATGTCTTCATACAGTCGGGGACTCGTTCGGCTCCACACCATTGCAGTGGACATGAGTGTCGTGCTGTACCTCCTCCTTTTTGCTGGACTGAGTCGGAGTTGCAGCTGTTCAGCGGCGAACTCCCCAAAAGTACCGCATGATCCAGCTGCATCGTCCGTGCTGATTTTCTGCAGAAAATGCAGTGCAGTCATCACGTTGCCATCTTTCAAAGACTGTGCCTTGAGGAACGCCAGCACGTTCAGGACCTCAGTCGTCGTTTCGAAGCTCCCGGGAACGCTTGTCAGATCAGCTGCCCTGAGAGTAGGCAACTCGCTCCCGGCTGCGTACAAACGGAAACGAAGATCACTGTAGATCGTCAGGTTTCGTACGATGACTGGAATACCTTGATCTGTGTCAAATGCCTCCATTCTGATCGTCACAATGTCCTCCTGAAGTTCAGGAACATGCATCTGTACGAGCCGGTACCCAGTCGGCAGGTCCACCGTAGAGAGCTTTCTCACCATGTCGGTAAGAGATGCCACGTTCTCGGAACGAAACATGGATGCGGCTTGTTCCTCCCACAGTTCTCTTTGCAGCAGCCTTCGTGCTGTTGGAGTCGCGAGTATAGTGGGTCGTGGAGTCTCCTGTCCGCTCTCATTCCTGCAAAAGGAGAGAAATATTTCACTTAACAACTGCATTTAGCAACGGTTGCAAAATATATGGGAAACAAATTAGCATACATGGGTAATTTGGACATTGCCGGATAAATGCTATAAATTGATAAATGTAGCTCGGAACTTATATACATAAAAAGAAGTTATATACACTATACAGTTATATACACAAAAAGAACAATTCAGCAGCATGTGCGACCCTTTTTAACCGCTATGTATGCATGCAGGTTAACAGTTCGGCCTACGGAGGTCATGTAAGGTCAGCTTGTAAGGTCGGGTCGGGTCAGAAAAGGAAAAGATTAAAATGTGCTGAAACCGACTCCAACTCCGGGCCGTCAGAGTTGTCTGGATCAAAAGTTATTCAAGAAAACCATCAGAAGTAAAAACGAACATTTTTCTACGGTTACCTCTGGTTGGTGACCCAGTTTTTGACCTGACCGAAAAATGACCGAAGTACTTTCTTACTGTTTTTTTTCGTTCTTTCGAACGCCGCCTACCGCTTGTCTCTACGACGCCCCCCCCCCCCCCCCCCGGCCCGCTGATGGGGCACCGGCCCGGCGCGGGTTAACGTCTGATATGATCACATTAATGACGTAACAGATCAAAGGTCATTTGAGGTAGAGTTCCCAAATTTTCACAGGTGTCAAAATGTAAAGACCATCCTCAACACCTAAGATGTCCTTAATACCTTACTAATGCCCATATTGCTTTGATGAGGTATAAACATATCAACTTACTTGTCCCGGGGTGGGAGCACTGTTGGAACTGCGGTTGGCTTGAGGCGCCGTCGCTGACGGTCGGTTCTTCTTGTCGTGGCAGTGACACAAAAGTCATCACTGGAAAAGTGGAGCTCACAAACCCCACCATTCGCGTGGAAAGCTAAATACCGATACCTTTCCCTTTCTCTTGTCACTTCCTCTCCGATGCCGTGTGATTCTATATCCAGAATAACAATTACGTACCGTACACTTCCGTGTCATCAAAAACCCTTTCAAAGGAAAATAGAAAAGATGGAAAATAGACAACTAAAATCATAGGCTAAATATCCTAAATGTGGCGAAGCCTTGCTTAATTTTAGGGCCTTGGCTTGATTGTGGCCAAGGCCCTATATAGAAGGTATGCTCATTAGGCCGAAGCAGCGATTTCCGTGACGTCACAGGTACGAAGGGTCGGACGGCTGTAATGCAATCCTATGGAAAATGACCCAACTTTAGGGCTCTCCCACATAGCTGCCAACCTCGACACTAAGGTAAAAGCTATATCACATAAAAGCTCAAATCAAGACGAACAAGAAACCTATCTGACGTTTTTACGTATTACTAACGGCTTAGACTCTATTCAAGTATACTCAGAGCTCTGCATTACCTCACTTTTTCTGCCGTCAATGCCACTACAAATGTCTAGTCGGCGCACGTGCGCTTGTCGAACGGGGACCACCAGTCGGGCGATTCGGAGCTACCGCCCAATCAGAATGCCACAATGCCGTGACGTCATTGGTCGCACACGACACGTTACGGAGATAGGGATGAGACAGCCCTGGATTGTGGCAGGATTTCCAGAAAATAAAGAATTTGCGTGCAACTCATTGGTGCTTATTTGCGGGAGATACCTCCGATATTCTTAGATATCATTTACCACTACTATTTTCATGAAAACTGTTATTGTTTTTTAACGATTTTTTTTTTGTTTATATCAAAATCGAAACATTTTTTTTTTTACTTACTAGACAAAACTTCAAACAATATCCATGTTAAATTTTGCCAGGTTTGCAGGGTTCTTAATAAGTTAAAACTAGGTTCACTTTTGGGCCCCTTATGCTACTTCGGCCAGATCAGTGCACAGTCCATGTATAGAGAAGTCTGTGGTTGAGCATAAAAATAGAAAAGCAATAAAAAACATTTTAGGAAGGTGGTCTATTGCCTTTAACTGAGGCGTGGCGCGTTTTCAGATGAGTCGTACCACCCGATGCTGAAGAGCTGTCTGATCGCCAACATTCCACAACAGCTGGCTCTGTTCGCCGATTACACGCCAGTCACGGTAAGACAATTATGGCCGTAATCACAATCACAGGTTAAGTGTTGGTGTAACCGCAGGCTGTTTGAAAAAACCGATAAACACTATTTGTTAGAAAAAAACGCAGGTTGTTTGAAATAGACAAATATTGTAAATATATATTCGTTAGAATTGTGTTTTCTATTGAAAAACAATCTGAGCATTTCTCGGTTGGAAGTGTTTTGCTTAGTTGACAGCGAATTGGGGCTTTACAGATAAGGTTGGGGCCGCAGTCACGTAGAAGTCAGTCCCTGCTCACGACTTTTATAAGCCTTGATTTACTATTGAAATGGAGGTAATGTTGTTGAAATGTTGTATGGAGGTGTTTTTAGTTGATTTATTAAAAAAAAACTAATTCAAAACATTTAAAGTTAGCAAACACAATGACACTCGCAATTCAAAACAAAGGTAATATCTTATCATTATTATCACCAGCTGGCAGCCATCACCTATCGTCCTCGTAGTCGATATCGGGCCTCGGCGCACTCGATAATGTTCGAAATTTGTAACGCTCACTTGTTGCTATGGGTCTGTTCCAGTCGCTCTTCCTAACACCTCTAAACTCCTTCGAGAGCAAGATAGAGGAGGTTGGAGCAGGGCCCTCCTTGGCTTTGCGGGGCTAGAGCTGCCACTGGAACAGGGAAGCAATTTTGGAGGAGTTTAGGGGTGTTAGGAAGTGCGACTTGAACAGACCCTATGACGACCGAGCAGTACATGTGATATTCATCCGTTAACAAGTACTTGCGGAGTTTGCTGCTCATGTTTTCGAACACAGGCTTTGTGTGTCACTAAAGGGACCCTCCCACCTTAAAAAAGTCAATGAATTGCATGAAAAAGATGTCGATCGGTTCAGAAAGAGCGAAAACGAATGTCTACCAAATTTCATCGAAAAATATTCACCGGTTTTCAAGATAATAGACTTTTACTTTTGGAATCTACGCTGTTCCTAGCGACTTTATTTGGAAGGAATAGTTTGGCAGCTGAAAGTGCTGTACTTGTTGCGCGCAAAGCAGCATATACCACCGCGTGCTCCCAAGTGTTTTGGTAAAAGATTTAAAATTGTTAGAGCTGCGCTGACCACACATTCAGAGGGGGCACTCAAATGCATTAGCCCCTCTAAATCCAAAGTGCTGCAACTTTGAAAAATTAGATATTTTCGATTTGAGGCATTTCTGATTTCTTGATGTCGTGGGTGCTCAAACCGGTAATTGCAAGCCAGGGACACCATTTTGGCTATCTCAACTCAAAACTAATGTTTAGGTGGGATGGTCACTTCAATGTGGCGCGTCATTTCTTAACCCGCGCCGGGCCGGGGGGGTGGTGGGGGTGGTGGGGTGCTTGAACACCCCACCCCACCCCATCCCCCCTGCGGTTTTTCGTAGATAGCCGTTTTCGGCACACCTGTTCATGCATCTTTTCCGCATATGTTGTGAAAATTTCAGACCAGAGGCCTCTTGCACCAAAATCCTCTTGCACCAATGCTTGGATTATTTTACATCGTATACCCAATCCAAGTCTCAAATGTAACAATTTGCGTGTAAAATTTAGCAAGCACATGTAGGATTATGTATTGGGCTATTGCAAACATATTTACCACCGTTAGATTAGCTTGTTCTGAAACCGGTTTTTCGATTTTACCTAGCTAGGTAGTTTGGTGCAAGAGGCCTCAGGGCTCTCAAAGTCAGGCAGGGTGTCGATTTTTCAAAATGGTTGGGGGTGCTCAACCCCTGCACCGGTGAAAGATTGCAGCTTTGTCATGGGGCACAACCGCACAAGGCATGGTTGGGTATCCCCATAAGGTACTGAATCCAGGATTTCCACTAACATTTCCCAAGGGCAGAACGTTCTTCTTGAAAATCATTCTGCTCGTCCTAGTACTTGGCTACCTCATTACATAAACATCTTTCCGAAAAAGTCGTATGTTTGCCGGCAGCTCGGCAGCAGCCCCGGCACCTCGGTAATAAGGTGATAGAAACCAATGACGGCGATTAGCACCAGTGCAGCAGCCCCTGCGGTCCGCAGGGGCGGACATTGCGCGGGAGGCAACGGTATAGCTACGAGGCTCTGGCACTAATAAGACGATCACAATAATCGCTGAAAAAATGACAGGTGATCGCATTTCGATATTTATGGGTTTACGATTTTCCTCAATGGCGTAGCCAGGTAGGCCCGTGAGGCACTTGCCCCCCCCCCCCCATCAGGTTCAGGGGCACATCGGGTTATTCGGGCCTGAGGGGCCGAGCGGCGCCAATTGGCCGCCGAGGTTCCACGTTGGCTATATTTGGACTCAGAATGGCCCCACAGGGCTTGTAAGAACACCTCATGGGCCCACAAGTACCAATATTTTAAGATCTCTATAAGGGCCCCAAGCCAGCCTCTGAGGGCCACTTGCCGACCTCTGGGGGTCTTAACCCACGCCCTGCTGGGGGGTGTTTGAACACCCCCCTTGTGGTTTTTCGCGAATATCTCAAAAACGGCGGCGCGGAGCTCCGCCGTTTTTGGCACACCTTATTATACATCAATTCTACACATGTTGTGAAAATTTCAGACCAAGGTCATTCAAGGTCAGGTCACCAGGTCACTTGAAGTGACCTCACCTCATAAAACGTTTCATTGTCTGTCATAGCTACACCGAGTGACCGATCGCTTTGAAACTTTCAGCGATTGCTAAGAGCAACGGCATGTACAAAATGTTTATCTCAGAATTTTGATATCGATGACCTAAGGTCAGGTCAATTTTGCGACCTCCCCATTATAAGTCAATGGGAGAAAATTGAAATGCGTCTCTTTTGGACGAAAGACATTATAAACACTCCCAAACACCGAATTACAAGTGGTTTAGACACACTGAACATGAAAATGGTGTCCGTGACCCTTGTTTATGCCTTGAGGTCATCTTAGGTCACGAATGGTATCTAACAGTTTTTCGCAAATAACTTCTGATAGAGGCATGCTAGAGCGATGAAAACGCCTTAGATGTGTTCAGCTCGACGATACGGATCGACTGATATGCAACATGACCCTTTCCGGTCAGGTCATGACCTTGACCTGAGGTCAAATTTTCAAGTTGACCTTTCAAGGTCAAATTATAGTTCATTCGATGCGTCTTCACGAGAGGAACACGATGCCGGTAAAAGTAAGCTCGTACAAGGCTTGGGTCAAAAGTTATTGCCGAAAAACTGTTTCCGAAAAAAATCGGCCTCTGCAGGCAGTTTTTGCCCCCTGCAGGCAAAACCGTTGACGTTAGGTCAAATCTGAGGGAATTAATCAGAAAGGGCGTTAAGAGGGCTATCGAATGCACTTTTCTGCGGCGCTGTAGCTCTATTGGTTCCCGAGTTATGCGCTGGCTTCTTGGAAATTTTCGATATTCGACCTGGAAATCGGCGAAATTTTGCCTTCAATGACCTCTGGTGACCTGACCTTTGACCTGACCAAAAACCTGACAAAGAAGTGATTTCGTCATTATTTTTGGCGCTCTTTCGAAGGCCGCCTTCCGCGTGTCGCTACGTGGCCCAGGAGTCGAGTTACAAGGGCGGTGTTCAAACACCCCCCCAGCAGGGCGTGGAAATCCAGGACCCCCAGCCGGGCGCGGGTAGACCGGCCTGTAGGTGGCCAGCTCTAGGAGCTGCACACCCGCCTGTAATGGCCCCACACCCATTTCTCTGAGGGCCCCTATAACGGCGACTGTGAGAGCCCTCACCTGTCGCCGCCGCAACGAAAGGCGACAGCGATTGGAGCGCACGAGGAACGCTAATATTCTATTTACGATTTTACTGAACGTTCCGACGGGTTGCGACGAAAAATACAGTTTTGAGTGCATTACGACGATCCGTTTCCCTTCGCTTTTTTCGCATTTAACGTAATGTATTCATTAACTCAACATTCGTGATTGTTGTAACGAACAATTATCACCGGCGCCCCTGAGCGCCACACCGACGTCTCTGAGGGCCCCACACTCCTAACTCTGAAGCCCTACACCAATGCCTTTAAAACCACTACATGGGCGGTTCTGAGGGTCCTTGTCAGTTACCAGCGACCTGACGGCCCCTCACAGGTGACTCGGAGGGTCCCAGGCCCCAGCAGCGTCTGAGCGCACCATGCCAGTCTCTGAGAACCCCACAAGGCTCCTGAAGGCACCGGTGACCTTTTGATATATTCTTGTCGGCCTATGAAGGGTCCGTTCAGTGACAGCAGTTCTGAGGGCCCCACGCACGCCTGTGATGGCCCTAAACCAGTGTCTCTGAGAGCCACCACAACGGCGCCTGTGAGGGCCGTCACCGGCAACTGTGAAGCCCTCACACCGGCGCCTCCAGTCCGAGGGCCCCACATTGTCATATCTGAGGGCCCCACACTAGTGCCTCTTAAGGCCCTATATCGGCGGCTCTGAGGGCCCCAACATCGTAGCTTCCGAATGCCCCACAAGTGCGCATGTGACGGCCACCCTGCCACCTGTGACATTTGAAGGCCCCATACCGGCGACTCTGAGTCCGTCGCCGGCGTCTATCGGCGTCTGAGTCCGTTCCGGTCTCTAAAAACGACCCCACAGGGTTTCTGAAGGTACTACCGGCCTCTGATGGCCCTTTGCCGGCCTCTGAGGGCCCGTCGCCGGTCTCTGGAGCCCCCTGCCGGCTTGTAAAGGGTACGCGCCAGCAGCTGTAAGGGTCCGACACCCGTGTACGACGGACCCACACTTAACTTAACGTCTTTTTTCGCCCTTCTTCTTAAAACTAACTTTCCTTTTCTTTGCATCTTTATTTCACCCTCGCCCGCCCATGCCATTTTTCCATCCTAGAACGCACATGAGGGGGGGGGGTTGCCACCCCCCGCGCCATTTCGTTCCTATTGGAGATAGAGCTTCGCGGTAAGACCAAAAAGATTCTTTGGGAAGAGACGAATCCAATGATACCCAGTTTTTCCTTCTCAGGTCAGTCATTGACCTTCCAGGTCAGGTCAAACTAAAAAAGTTGCTGTTTTGGGTCACCGTT